GAAACTTGAAAAATACCAACATTTAAGGAATGGCTCAGGAATAGGCTCTTGCAAATGAGATTCAGAAAAGGTAAGAGGAAAATGAGAAGTATGGTAACACAGACTCGAGGATGACTGCTTCAAGGAAGATAGTCAAAGGTTAGATGTTTGGTGAGGGCTTACAACAATTAAGAACTGAAAGGTATCATTGACCTTGAAGAAGGCAGGTTCAGTGGAGTGGTGAGGGTGGCAGACAGATTGTATGGATGATAAGAGCTGAAGGCCAGGCTGGTGAGCTCGAAGGTTGACTCTGAAGGGGAGAAGAGAGAAAGGGCTCTAGCCAGAGGGAAGTTGAGATTGAAGGAAAGGTTTTTTTGTTTTTCCTTGTGTGGTTGTTTTATTTTTAAGAACAACTAATGGGAATTGTTAATTAGATAGAAGATGCCTTAAGATAATGTTACAGAAAGAGAGGGGAATAATTAATTGAGCTGGGTTTCAAAGATCCAAAAAATGAGATCTAGCAAACAGGATGGGAGATTGTACCAGGAGGGAGGGAGATGATTGGTTGCAGCTAAGTTTGTAGATTGGATTGTGGTAAACTTAGATTTAAGAAAATCAAAAAAGTTTAAAAAATTTCCATGCTGATTTTAGCATTGATTGAGTTAATGTCTGTTAGTATCTTTTTTATGGTATACTCTTTTTTCATCCTGAAAATGATGCTTTGCAAGAAATACTTGAAAAATTCCCTCCCTTTCCATCCCCACATGCACACACACCAAAATGATCTTGGAAAGAACATTTTTAGATTTTATGAAAGTAAGCCTTTAAACTGTGGCCTCATATTTTCCCTGTCAGAATGGTGAGTCTACTATCAGAGGCAACTCAACTATAAAATAAAATGGCATTGCTATGTGTGTTAGTCTACTTGGACTGCCATAACAAAATGCCAGGAAATTAATTTTCTCACAGTTCAGAAGGCTGGAAAGTCCAAGATCAAGGTCTGGCAGGGTTTGGTTTCTGGTGAGCCTCTCTTTCTGGTTGCCTTTTCACCGTGGCCTTTCCTTGTGTGTGGGGACAGAGAGAGAGTGAGCCCTTTGCTGTCTTTTCTTATAAGGACACTAATCCTATTGGATCAGGGCTCTACTTTTGTGACCTCATTTAACCTTAATTGCTTCCTTAGAGGCCCCATCTCCAAATATAGCCAAACTGAGGGTTAGGGCTTCAACATGTCAATATTTGGCGGACACATAGAGTCTATAACAGTATGTATTGGCAACTCCTGTATTTTTAATGGGATGTTAGAGTCTTTATGGATCATATGGAAAATGTTTTTTGTTTCACCCTATTTTCTTTAATAAAGTTGCAATGCTTTTTTTATTGAGATACATGGTAGTCCGCCATTATCCATGGTTTGCTTTCTGTGGTTTCAGTTACCACAGTCAGCCATGGTCCGAAAATATTAAATGGAAGAATCCAGAAATAAACAGTTCATAAGTTTTAAATTGCGTACTGTTCTGAGTAGCATAACTTTTGTTACAGTATATTGTTATAATTGTTCTATTTTATTATTAGTTACTGTTGCTAACCTCTTATGGTGCCTAATTTATAAACTAAACTGTATCATAGGTATGTATAGGAAAAAACATAGTATATGTGGGGTTTGATACTATCCAGGCATCCACTGGGGGTCTTGGGACATATCTCCTGTGGATAAGGGAGAATACTGCAATTGATGTATAGCATTATATTAGTTTCAGGTGTATAACATAATGATTTGATATTTGTATATATTGCAAAATGATCACTACAGTAAGTTTAGTTAGCATCCGTCACCATATGTAGTTACAAAATTTCTTTTTCTTGTGATGAGAACTTTTAAGATTTACTCTCTTAGCAACTTTCAAATATGCAATACAGTATTAACACCTATAGTCACCATGCGTATATTACATCCCCATGACTTATTTATAACTAGAAGTTTGTACCTTTTGACCCCCTTCACCCATTTTATCTACCTCCTCATCCCCTGCCTCTGGCAACCACTGATCTATTCTCTGTATCTGTGAGCTTAATTGTTCTCACAAATGGCAAGATTTCATTCTCTTTAATGACTGAATAATATTCCATTGTATATATACACACAACATCTTCTTTACCCATTCATCCATCGATGGACACTTAGGTTGTTTATATGTCTTGGCCATTGTAAATAATGCTGTAATGAATATGGGGTGCATATGTCCTTTTGAGTTAGTGTTTTTGTTTTCTTTGGATAAACACCGAGAAGTGGAATTGCCGGATCATATGGTAGTTTTATTTTTAATATTTTGAGAAACTTCCATACTGTTTTTCTTAGTGGCTGCACCAATTTACATTCCCACCAACAATGCAAAAGGATTCCCTTTTCTCTACGTCTTCTCTAACACATCTTATTTCTCTTTTTAATAATAGCCATTCTGACAGGCATGAAGTGATAATGGTTTTGATTTCCATTTCCTTGATGATTAGTGATGTTGAGTATCTTTTCATGTACCTGTTGGCCATCTATATGTCTTCTTTGGAAAAATGTCTATTCAGATCTTTTGCCTGTTTTTTAATCGAATTGTTTGTTTTTTTGCTGTTGAGTTGTATGAGTTCTTTACATATTTTGGATATTTACCTCTTGTCAGATATGTGATTTGCAAATATTTGCTCCCATTCAGTAGATTGCCTTTTCATTTTGTTGATTGTTTCCTTTGCTGTGCAGAAGGTTTTTAGTTTGATGTAGTCCCACTTGTTTATTTTTGCTTGTGTTGCCTTTGCATTTGGTGTTGAGCTTCCAATATTATTAATAGATTGAAGGGGGTTTTTTTTGTTGTTATTTCACTTAGTTCAGTGTTGTTTGGTTATCTCGAATGTGTCTGGACATTCCAGACCATCTGGATTAATATTTTAATTAAAGGACACAGGTAATATCTTAGTAAATAGTATTTTTCGGACCACCTCTGTAAAAGTGAAATTGAATTTAGTTTATTGGGCATTCAGACTTGGAAGGTTAATGAAAGCAAATAAGCATGATGTAAAACTCACTGCCTTTATCTGCAAGAATTTAGACTGAATAAATGCACTTATGCACAACTGCTAATGTAAGAGGTTAGAAATGTAATGAATCAAGAGTCTGTTCGTAATTTGATTGCGAAGCTGTTAAAAAAAGATTTCTCACCCCCACCCCAAGCTAATCATGGAAAGAGAGCATTTCCTGAGTAGGAGCGGAGGGGGCCTTAGCTGGGACACCTGTCACTTTATTCGTTGTCACAGTTAATTCAGCTGTTGTGGCTGTCTAAGCAGATATGTCCTCTTCTGTTTCCCTTGAGTTCATTTCACTACAGAGTTCACCTCTTCTAGATAGAGGTAGAGCATTCTCTGTTGAAGCATAGATATGCAAATATCTGCACTCTCTCGATGGACCCTCTCATTTGCTATCAAGACTAGTTATTTGTAATTGTCAGCTGTCAAGTATAGGTATTAACATCGGTTAAGCTTAGAAACCTGCAAAGCGATGGAAGTGTGGGAAAAGCAGAAATTCAGTACCTTCTCTGGTTACAGAAGCCATTGAGGGGATTAGCAGCCTATGTTGAAGCAACACTAAAAAGTCGTGGGATTTTTTTCCCCTGACTTCTCAAACCGCTGTTTTGAAAAATCGTAACTCCTCTTTGTTTTAATCAGCTGGCATACAGTTTAAGAAATTATAATAGTACTCAAGTCTAAATAGGTCATACATTCAAATGACATGAAAATACTTTCTTTGGAATATTAACTTTCTTATTTTCTGCCACTCATTCATAACCAAAGTGGACAGATAGCATCATAGGGAAGTATGCAATATCTGAAAAAGCCATTCTAAATTTATAGATCAAGTATAACAAAGTTAAAATTTTCTTATATAGAAATGCTCATCATAATGCTAATCCATTTGAATATAGCAATTGATATTAGGTACATTTAATTCTTTACCCCCATCAGGAAACCAGGACAAATCCCCTCAATGTAGCTTAAGCAAAGCAAATGCAGCTGATCGAAAAGTCGATCAAGGCAGAGACTCTCTCTCTGCTGCCCGTATCCTCTCCTGACCTTTAGTTTGGCCTTTCTAGTTCTCATTCTCCTTTTTACTTTCCATTTTTACAAAATTTTTATATTTTCTCACATTCTTTGCCTTTGTGTGCATATGTCTGAAAGCATCCACCTTGGTTCTTTATTAATTTCTAGTTCAAGAGCACCATGAACCTGGAATCGCTTTGTACCTAGAGAGACAATTTGATTGTCTTAGCTGTTGTCTTCTGCTCCAGGCAGCTGTGACCAGTGGGTTATTACACAGTGGCTCGCCTTTTATTCAGCAGATCTCTGAGATTAGACTCTAGGAGAACAGGAGGTATGACTGGTTATTTGCACCTAAAAGCAGACTTTAGGAAATAGCCATAGGTGGTTAACTGCCTATTCTTTTGGTAGGAGGGCATCTGCTGTTAATTTTCCAAAAAGTTTTGTTTGTATTCACGTATAAATCTTTGTGTGGACATATGCTTTTATTTCTCCTAGGTAATTACCTAGTTGTAGAATGACTGGATCAGATGGTAGGTGTATGTTTACCTTTTTTAAAAAACTACCAAATTGTTTTCCAAAGCAGTTGTACCATTTTACATTCCCACCAGCAGTGCAACAGAGTTCTATTTTGCATTCTTACCAACACTAAGTATGGTCAGTCATAAGCTGTTTTTAAAATTATTACTTTCATATCTTTTCATGTTGTTGTAATCACATATCATATTACATAAGGATTATTTGGAAAAAGTACAAAATATACCAGATAGCTAAAGATTTTCAGTTTAATTTAAAAAGTACTTGGAGTTGGACTGAAATCTCTTTACTGGGAAGGTAGAAGACAGTTTGCTAAAAATATTGGATAACTGAGGGAGATACAGTTCTTTAAGAGCTAATTTTGTAATGTGTGTGCCTGTTTTATATGTGTATTTTTCTTCCTTTGATAGAGTTTTCCGGAAAAGGACCTTCTGCACTGTCCATCTAAGGATGCAGTTGAAGCTCATTTTATGTCTTGTGTGAAAGAAGCTGATGCTTTAAAGCACAAAAGTCAAGTAATCAATGAAATGCAGAAAAAAGATCACAAGCAGCTCTGGATGGGATTACAAAATGGTAAGTATAACAATGTTTAATTTCAGAAAACCACTTTATGAAGTATGAAGTAACTATAATCCTGTGAGTAATTATATATGTTAGGATTGGTTATACAAGTTTAATTCCGACCTCTACACACAAAATTTTGCAAAGAAGCTACCTTTAGTCACCTCTTACATTGTACCCTTACAACATCCCTTTCTTCATGGATTCCCTAGCATTAGAATGATTGCTTTGCCCATAACATATGACAGTATCAGTTCCTGTGTTTAGCTTCTGGAGAAAGTACCTTTACTCCTAGTCATGATCTTTGTGGAATAGTTAATTTCAGTTAACATGCTTTGGTTAATAACACCAGTTCCCCAGCAATGTGGTTCACATTTCATTTACTACCATATATTAACTGAATAATTACGTTAAGTACAAACTTTATTGCCAGCTCTTCGGTCCACGAATCATTATATAATAACAGATATGCATCGTGTTCAGTGCCCAGTCCTGTCACTTTTTTCAGTGTCTGTCAGTGAATCATCATTACACGTCTGTTACTTAGTTCACCCACAGACAGCAAAGCATGTAGTTGTGTTGCCTCCTTGTCTCCAGTGATAAGCCTGCACAATACTTTATAAAACTAAATAATTGGCCAGGAAAGAAGAAAGTGTAGCAAAGAAACAAGTGATAATGCTGGAAGGGAAATTTGAATAGAATGTAATGGAATTGTAGAAGCAATAGCTGACTATGGGAATGTTGGCACTACTGCCATTTCAGAGACTTTAGATATGTGGCCACAGGTACTTAGTGGAGGTGAACTTTCCCACATAAATGAGGAAGGTGGTTTTGACAAAAGGGATGAAGTTATCCCAGAACAAGCACTGCTGATGAAAAAACTTGACGTTAAAGAAACTCTCAGAGATATTTCATGTCATCAAAAGTGCAAATGATGACATGTTTGGAAGTTGATCCAAACTTAGAAAGGAGTATGGCAATTCACCAAGGTTTAGGAAGGATGCTTGCTCGTAGTTTTATGTTAGGAAAGCAAGCACAATTTAAACTATGCTTAAGTTTTTTACAAAGAAATAAAGCACCTTCTCAGTGTTTCTAATGTTTTAAATTACAGTGTACTAAATAATATTAGTGTTTCTTACTTTTTTGCTTTTGCTATACGTTTGTAACCAACAGAGAGAGTTTTTAATGTTTTGACAATTTTTTAAAGATCTCGAACAATTATAATCTTTCTCATTAATTATTAAAATCACTTTGCACAGCTTTATAGTCCCTTTTCCAGTCGTGCAGTGCTACACAAAGGAAGGACTGCCTCTATTTTGTCCATCTTTGATAGTTGCTTTTGGACAGGGAGTTAGTGTAATATAAGCTGCTCTTTCGTGGCAATAACGAGAATAAAATAGAAGCAGCTCATTACCACCCCCCAAAATAATTTTTAAAAAAGTATGATCCAGTTTTATCTTTGAGACTGTATTATTATGATGTCAAAGAGATGTTTGTAGTTTTTAAAATATTAATTAAACTTTCACTATGCAAAGTACAGGGCATTATCTGTAACTTCAGTAGCACAGAAGGCACATATTTTATGAAAATGTTTACTGTAAATTAAATTTCCTCATTTCTTGTGAGTTTCTTAGCTTTGACCTGAGTTACATAGAGTTGCTCCTTAGTTTCATATTTATATGTCTGGTATTTCTCAAACGGACGATAAGCTCTGCAAACTCAGGCACCAGGCCCTTCTCCTTATTTATATTGCTCAGTCTGCAAATTCTTATAAATGGTTAAAAGAGTTTACAGCACCTTAAGAGGGTGTACTTTTTTCTTTTTCTTGCTAGTTATTTGAAGATGAAATGACTTATTAGGTGACTTGTGAATAAAAAGATAGCCTAAATGGAAGAAGACTGGACTCTTGCAGAGAGAGAAGGGGTCAGAGAATAAATTAGCTTCCGAATTGAAATAAATAATGTAAACAAACATTTAAGTAGATGCTTTTGAAATCTGTTTCGAATGTGATGAGTCTCCTCTAGAGAGCTCAGATTCAGCAGAAGATTCTAAAAATGGTTGAAATGTTTCAGTTGGGGCAGTGGAAGATTGGATATGTAGGATGACGGTTACGAGTTGTAGAAAAAACAAAAGCCTGGTTTTTAGTCTCAGCTCTGCTAGTAGCTCCTTAGGGCAACTCACTCCATCCCTTTGAGCTTCAGTTTCTTTATCTGTAAAACAAGAGAATATCTGCTATGTTCTTTTATAGGTGTCTTTAGAGGCTTTAAAGAAACACTAATATAGTTTATGTGAAAGTATTTGAAAGGAAGTGAAGCTGTCTTGATAAAAAGAATTATTGAGAAGTCACTTTGAGACTCTAGGACAGGAGTTGGCAAACTATGGTCATGGACTAGCCACCTGTTTTTATAAATAAAGATTTATTAGAACCCTACCATTTATGTGTTGTGTATGTTTACTTTCGTGCTGTGACAGCTGAATTAAATAGTTGTGACGGAGACCATGTAGTCCACGGCCTAAAATATTTATCATCTCTGACTCTTTTGGAAAACCTTTGCCAGCCCCTAGAAGGTTGACCAAACCAACAGCTCATGTTTATCATTGACTTAAAGCATGACTCAAAATGTCACACATTCAGAACTCGCTGTAACTTAATGTATCAGACTTAGTCTAATAACTGCCTTCATTGCTGATTTTTGGCATAAAATTCCTTTTTTCCTGTTTTTGTCTTAGCCCATATTCTTTCTTAGATATGTGACTTTTTGAAGTTATCTTCATTAAGTTTTATTGAATTACATGTAAAATTGAGTTTCATTAAATCTGACTGAAAATGGTATGAGGTTAAAATATGTTTTATTCCTTTTATTTTTTTAGCTATAAATTATTTTTGTAGCTGTTATGCTTGATTTTGTTCGTACTGGTAACGATTGAGCTTACACACTCAAAATGTGGATACTGGAGACCTTGATAGTTTATTTTCTACTTTTTAAAAATTAAAATATTCATTTAGGAAATCTTTAGTTGGGTAAAGGTTGTAGAAAATATATTTTGGAGGGAAAAGTCTGAATGTTACCTACATTAAGGTAAATTGATGAAAGGTGGGTGTGGTAATTCATTTTGTTCCTTCTGCCTAGAATGCCCTTTCCCTCCTTTTTTGTCTAACTCTTCCTTATGTTTTAATGCTCATATCTCTTGCCACCTTTTATCTGAAGCCTTTACTCTTGTATTTTCTTAGCCAACAAATATTTATTGAAAAGCTAACATGTGCCTGAAACTATGCTAGGAGCTAGTGAGCATCCAGCAGTGACAGAACAAACATGGACCCTGTCTTCATGGAGCTTACAGCCAAGCAGAGGCAGAACTATTTGTGTTTTCTCGATGTCATGGCTCCTTGTCCATTTATATGCATTTTTGCTCTCATATTTTATCACAGTCTGGTATAGTTATGGTTTATGTATTCTGCCAGAATATAAGTGTCTCCTGGTTGGAGTGTATTACACATTTTTATATCCCCAGCACCTAGTCTAGTCTTAGGCATAGAGTAGACAAAATAAATGTTGACTGAATCACTATTTTATTCCTTTCTAGTAAATTCCTTTCTTTTTCCTTTATTGAAATGGATTTTATGTTTAAGAATTTTTCCATCTAAAAGAAGGTCTTATTTATTTGTGAAGCCAAAGATATCTCACCTTTTGGCTAGTGTAATTGTAAATTGGTCAAAATCGAGATATAGCAGATGGTAAATTTCTTTCATATAGAACTGCACCTGTAGAGCACAACAGCTCAGCCATGATTTAAACAATTTTTGAATACTTTCAAATGCTAATTTTAATGTTTCAGATCTCTGTGAAAGAGAAATAAGAAAAGCTTTTGAAACCAAGAAAACTCATTTAAGACATACTGTGCCTTTCAGTGTTCTTTATGGGTTTTCATTTTAGATATAAAAGTATTTTGCCTCCCTGTGAAACAGAGTTAATGACCACAAAAAAAAAAAAGAAAGTAGCATTTTTGTTATTTATGAGGCAGTTGTCAATACATGTGCAGGCTATTTTCTATTAAATGTCAGGCTATTTTTTTTAATAATCTAGAGATTTGAGGAAATCCCAAAAAAATATTTTTAACAGAATATATGACTTAGTTTTCAGCCTTGGTTTTTTGAGTATATTAAAAAAGAAAAGAAAAGATGGCATTAAATAAATTCCATAGACTTTCAAATAAATGCAAGTTTTGACTGCTAAGTATATTGAAAATTTACATTGTTTCTAAATTATGGTTAATCTTTTTGAGCTAAGTAATTTTTAGAGAAATCAATTGTTTGTGTACCATTTTAACTTAAAACTGGTTTATAGGAGGAAATAGTGATCAGTGAAAGGTGACTTTTATAATAAGTCCTAAGATTTTGAAAATACTTCAATACATGATATAAAGAATGCAATGGTTCTAGCTCTTTGGAGGCTTGTATGATAGAGACAGTTGGGTTGTAACTGCATTGCTTTGTGTTTGTCAGTTGCATATAGTAGAGTAAGTATTGGACTGCAGGTTTGTTGGTCTGAGAAGGAGCATTGGACCTAATCTTTACTTTGCTGGATCTCTTACTGTTTGGCCGTGGCAGACCACTTTTCTCTCTAAGCTGGAGTTTCCATATAAGTATGAATGTGTTAATAGCTCACAAGACTCAAATTCAGGGACCGTAAAGTAGTAATCACATATACCTGAATTCTGAAGATTAGATATTCTCATTTGTTTCAGAAGGACTTCTTGGAAGAATAATTGTTGTCAGTGATTTCTCTCTCTTCCCTCTCTCCTCTTTTCTTTCCTTCTCTCTTCCTTTCTCTTTCCTTTCTTTCCCTCTCCATTACTCTCTCCCTCCCTCCCTCCCTGTCCCTTTAAAGCAGGATTTAGGTGGAAGGTAATAGACTACTATACAGAAATAAGTGTGGTGTCATAGAAAGATTACTAAAACAGATGAGCTTTTGAGACTCAGCTCTGTATCTTGAAGCTTCCATTTCTGTGAT